GGTAATATACTTGGTCAACATAAAAGTGCTTTTAAGTTAAAAAAAAAGAGGCTCCCCCCCCCCCCGCCTAGCTTTTAGCTTTTGGCTTAAAATAAGTCATTTTTGACTTAAAATAAGTCATTTTGATAATTGCCAAACACTCTAATAAGTCAAAAACTGGCTTTTAAGCCAATTTGACCAGCTTAAAAGCCCATCCAAACAGGCTCTTAATATAGTTTGTGAAATATGAAAAAAGTAAGGTGTACGTCGATTTTATTTCTATTTTTGTGAAATAGGAATTACGGAGATTATTTTTGATAAGTTTTTATTTAAAAAATAATATTTTAGAATAAATTTGAAAAAATATAAGATTAAAAGTTATGATAAAAATAATGAAATTAAAAAATAGTTATAGTGAAATAATAAAAATAACTGAAGTATACAAAAAATCGTAGAAATAAATTGGAAAGATACCATAATGATAGCACGATAATAAGGGAACAATAGGTGCTCCGAGCTAGAGTCGTGATATAGAAAGAAAGAAAGTGTTTGACTACTTATTAACTATCTACTCTAATTCTCGATATTTATGCTCATCTAATAAGAGTCATGTCATTAGTGTGATAAAGATATCTCATGTTTTGGCTAATTACATTTTTTTTCTCTTTCTTCTTTTCTTGATCTATCTCTATTTTTCCTCAAACCTATTATTGTCACTCTCTCACCTCCTTACTCGAGGTTTTGTATTTCTCTTATGTGCATGCCTGTAGTTCTCGCAACTTATCCACTAAGGAGGCTACTATCATCTTATCATGTATATCTTCATTCTTAATCTTGCCACTTTGTTCATAGTATGTTCACACACTCATCATGTATGCATCCTCATCTTTACTAACTTCATCTTCTTAAAGTGTGGATTCTTGATTGACCAACACTCAATCTCGAACAATATAGTCAGTTTGACGACCACTAGATCTATAGAACTTACCTTTAAGTCTCGGTAACACTTTCTTAACACACATGACACCAGATACGAGTCAGCATTTCATCCACCCCGCTTCAATACGATGTACGGCGTCCTCATTGATCTCCTCATTTTCTTGAATTATAAAAGCTAGATACTTTAAACTTTCTCTCTTGAGAACATCTAATGTATCAATCATCTCTTCCCATTTATCTCTTGTAATGCGACACTAAACCTGTACTCCATGTACTCTATTTTGATCATGCTCAACCTCAAAAAATTAAAATTTCAAGATCTACTTCTAAATCTTCAATTTATATATCTTTAACTCTATTGCATGTCTCATCAATCTATACTAAGTCGTCTGCAAAATAATATATACCATAATACTTCCTCTAAAAATCTAGTGTCATTTCATCTTTTACCAATACAAATAAAAATGAATTGATCCCCAATACATCCAACTCAGTTGAGATGTTATTTGAGTCTTCTTTCACTATCCTTAATCACTGTAACATATGCTACATGTAAATATGAGCTTTAAAGAAAATGATTTGACACATTTATATAACCTAAAAAATCATTTTTTTTCTTATCTCAAAATTAATATACTATATAATAAAAATCCAAAAAGTCCCTCTCATAATCGTGCACTGTGTTTTTTTTTTTTAAAGGGAGAAATGTAGTAAGTGATAATTGATCACTAATTTTTTAAGTAAATAACTTAACATTTAACCAATTCATCATTTAGTTTTCTTATAGCATAGATATCAGTAAATAAATATTATAAAATTTTAGAAAATATATACACAAAATATTTAATTTTATAAAAGATCACAAATTTATATGCCCCATTTTAATTTAGACTATAAATTCGCCCTTCTTGACAAGCTTTCAATTAAAAGAACAAGCTAGAAAATGTTACAGATCAAACAATAATAATATTTCCCGTTCTTATTTAGTTGTCACCATTTTAGGTTTTATCTCCTTAAAAAATAAGATAAGTTTACCATTTTACTCTTATTTAGTGTTCTCCTGAATTTAAGTTTTCAATTAATGAAAATAAATTAATTTATTTTGATTAATTACTTAACCAGTAAACATGAATTAATCACTTTGTTTTCTCATGTTGGTCAAATGCATACTTTTAAAGCTAATAACTCTCAAAGGTAAAATAAGAAGAATATTGTTATTTATGCATTGATTTTGTAAAATGACAAATATAAAAGAACAATTATTTTTAATAAAAACGACATTCAAATAAAAATGGAGCGAATAATATATATGTATACATATCCTAATTAAGTGAGATATGAGAGGATGATGTGCATTTTATCCGTAACTTGCTTCCCTCTGGAGAAAGCTTTGCAAGGTCATAAGTCATAACTATAGCTTTTACTGCAAATTAAATAATTATGATTACTCATTGAATAATACATTCTCCGTTCATTTTGCTTAATCCATGTTGATTTGGGTATTTTTCTTTTTCATTATACAAAAGTACAATATTTTATTTTATTTTTATTTGTTACTTTTTAACATATTAAAAAAATATAATTTTTTTCATATTTTATTTTTAGCATTAATTACTTACTGCCTAATTTTATTTTTTTTCAAAACATAATATTAATTAATGTGATAAAACAGCCATGATAATCACTGTTTTTAATGGGTGTGCGGTGTGCCAATTTCAAATGTGACAACTACAAGTGAACGGAGGAAGTGTTTTTTTAGAGGTTTATTTTATTAAATTAATTTTACCAATTATGTTTTTAACCTCTAAAATTTACTATTGTTTTCTTTGTTCATTTTTACTTGTTCAGTATTGACTTGGCATACTCCTTAAATAACAATAAGCATAATGAATTTAACTATATCATCTTTTGAATATAATAAATTTAATATTTTGAAAAATGACTATAATTAATACTAATAAAGATAAGCTAGGAACTAAGAGATAAATTATATTTAAATTTTTAAAATTGGACAAGTAAAAATAGACATCTATTAATTTAGTATAGAGAATAAATAAAAATGAACTGATAAAATAATAATTTATGTTATTATTTATAAAAGACAATCAAATTCTCCTAATTTGTTAAAATGAACGAATAAAAATATATCTTTGATATAAGACATTCAAATAAAATAAAATGAAAATAGTAATAAGCATTTTTTTTTACCACCTACTGTTAAGGGAGGAGTGTTGGTATTGGCATGCCAGATCAGAAAAATGATCTTTTTCATTCTCCAACCATTAAAAGTATAATTAATACAATTATAAGTATTAATTTGTGTTTAATCTGTTATTTACATTTTGTCCTTTTGAATTATTTACTTGACCCAGTTACTTTGCAATCAAAAGGGTCAAATTTGCTCTTTTTATCATTCAAACAACTACGAATTAGTTAAAGAGTTCAAAGCTCCACAAAAAGAATATCTTCCTTCAATATATAATTACTCTCTTTTGTATAGTGAATTAGTTGAAGACTTGAAACATTTTTCTTTGTCTCAATTCTCTCCTCATTATACACTACAATATTTTTCCATACTTCTCATTTTTTATTTTTCCCACTCTTTCTCGTATCTATCTCTTGTCATGCTCAACACAAAGGAAGACCATCACTATTTACAGGGTAGAAAATCTTTCTTCCAAAGAATAGGACAATTATGGATAGTAAATTGGGTAAATGAATAGCTCAAAGGTTACATAAGTTACAAGGTATAATAAGGTAGAATAATGCATGAAATTAATGGTAAATTATGACAATAGTGGTTACAAGAGCTACATTCACATTCTTGTCAATTTATACACACTAACATATGCACTTAATATTTTAATTTTAATATTAAAATGCATAAAGACCAACAGTTTGGTTGTTATCTATTTCCGTTCAGTTATTAACCATACAATTTTTAAAAAAAAATGATTAATTCAAAAGAGGAAAAAGAAACAACAATCTATTCAGAAAACAAAAAATAGTTAAAACGACTGGATCTTTCAATAACTGAATTTACTGTGAATAAAGCTTCAAAATCCATCATTCTGGCCTAGAATGAAGAGACAACGACATTCCTAATCCACCAAGAATTGTCATAGACACTCATATACATGAAACCTATAAGATAAATGTTATTATCTTGGACCTTTATGTTTTCATAAATAAATTATAAATAAATTTGATATAGACATATATATAATATACTTAATTTAAAATTGCTTACAAAACAATATATTATGTATTTTACGATAATAAAATATATGTATATAATTTATCAGTTCAGTTCAGTTATTTATTTATTTTTTCTAAACAAAATAAAAATCAAATCAATACTATCAATTACTCTGGTGGTGCATGTGTATGATAGGGCCCCCCATAAGCGCCAAAGATCAGTGATGTTGTCATGATAAGTGTGGGAAGTCGATAGTGTACTCGATGATTGAAGGACCTATCGACTTGCATTAACTTTCCGTGGTCAGTAATAGCAAAAGCAGCCTATCTGGAATGATCTACTCCTTACTCAAGCAAAGTTGTATGCAACCGCATAGAGGAAGTTTAGCCAATCCCTCTATTTTCATCTTGAAAATTTGGAAAAATAGAACATGCTCTACCAACCACAAGTTTCATATTCGACACAGTATTCTTACGGGAAATTATGATCAAAGAGTTCTTTATTAACCACCATCTACTTCAGATTTAAAAAATTTAAAATCAAACCAAATCGAATCGAAAGCCTAATAAAATCGATCTGGTTCGAGTTTTATCCGAATCAACATCCCTAATGTTATGGTGTTTGAATAAAAATTCACGAAGTTAGAGGGACGAAAAGAGAATTTCAAGCAGGTACAAGTGTCTGTTTGATAAATATGAAGGACTGAAAAAAAAGAATTAGCTTTACGTTACTCTTTGCGCGTACATGTTTTTACTCACCCTCTTATTGAGCGCGTGGTTAAACCATCAAAAGATTGTCTTAAATACAAATTAATAAGTAATTTAATTTAATTGTAGAAAAAACAGCTGCGAAATTCCAAAAAAAGAGCTCAAAATTATCAATTTATCATCGAAGCATCAGAGAGACAATCCAATCCCCCCTTTCCCCATTTTCCTCTCTGTGTTTCTCTCTCTAAAACAACCAATCTCAGACCCCACAAATCTCTCCTTTAAACCCCTTCTTCCTCAGCACCCAAAAACCCAATTTCTCTCAGCAATGCCAGCTTCCTCCTCAGGTGCACACAAAAAAACCCTCTTCTTTTTGTTCGTAAATATGTATTTTTTTGAGTTTTTTTTTTGAAATTGATTTGAAAATGGTTGATTTTTGTGCTAGAATTTGATGGATCCATATGTTAGGAATTGATATAGGCGAAGCTAACTAGTTGTTGTTGTTGTAGAGACGAGGAATAGATGGAGGAAGCGAAAGCGGGAGCCTTTAATTTCGAGGAAATCGAAGAACCAACATGATGATGACGGGTTTGAAGATGAGGAGGATGAAGAAGACATTGAACAGCAGGAGATGGAAGATGACCATCAAAACCCTAACAATTCAGTGGATCGAAGTTACTCTGTTGAGTTGGTGTCAGAAAGTAGGGACCGGATTAGTGAGTTTCCTTTGGTAGTAAGACGAGCAGTGACTCGGCCTCATTCATCTGTGCTGAATATTGTGGCAACAGAGAAGGCTGGGCTAAGTGGGGAGAGCAGGCAGAATGGGTTGGTTTTGGAGAACATATCGTATGGGCAGCTTCAGGCGCTTTCAGCTGTGCCTGCAGATAGTCACTCTTTGTTGACTGAGGAAAGAGGAGGGGAAGGTAGTGGGAGTGGTTCATATGTCATCACTCCTCCACAGATATTGCCGGGTCGCGGTGTCATTAAGCATTATGGTAGTGCAGGTCGAATCCATGTCGTGCCAATGCACGCAGGTACTCATACAATGTGCTTATAGTGAAATTTTGTTGCATATCATTTCCATAGTTGATGGAACCTTTTTGTGCTTTTAAGTACCAAAATACTTGTTTGCTGGTGAATAATGATTTTGAGCAAGAAATGATAAGACCGTGAGTAGGAGTGATATGTGTAAGATCTGTAGTATGCATTTTTTTTAACAATCTGAAAAGGTCAACTGTTGGGAGTTTCTTAATTGTACTGTAGAAGTTCTGCATTTTCTGTCAGGACTTGACTACTTTTGGGAAATAAGATAGTTGCATAGTCCAATGATATTATTATTATTATTTCGAAGGACAATTCTGATCCTTGGATTTAATAACTTCCTAATTTGTTGAAATTTAAGAGAAATCTCTGACCTTAGTATCTAGGGTAATTGGCAGTAATTCTATCAAATCAGTATGCCTGCTGGCAATGGGACCTTAAAGAGGTGTGGTATAGACACTGTTGCAATTTTATGAATCTCCTTCCACTTTCTTTTGAGTATTGCTGCCCTTCCAGTTCAAAGATAACGTCCTTCACCAGGAGTGTATCTTATAGAATAATTGATAGGTTAGAAGAGGTGTATGTGATATCTCACAGGAAAAATATGAATTTATACAAGTTATTAGCTGTGCAAACAAGAACTTGGAATCCTCTTTTGTACCTTACTGTCCAAGTCTAGTGTTGATGGCATACTTGTGAGATAGATGCTAGAAGAAACTTACCGAGCTAAACACTTTTTTGGTCCAACTGAACTAAAGACATGAATTCTAGATTTGCATGTGTGGATTGTGGAGTGCCTTAGTAAACTAATCTTACTTGTAATCCTTTGACTAACATCTGCCATTTTCTATCAATGTTATTTTTTGCATGCGCTTTACCAAATTAATTATAGAATAACACCTCTATCACCCAGATTTATCTCGAGGGGTGAGTGGCAGGTATCAATATTCTATAAAAGTAGTTTGCCTTAAGAAGGTCTCCTTATATTCCAATGGTGCTTAGTCTTTGACGAAGTTGCCTAGATTGCTAGGGGTATCTGTCTGAGAATAAGAAGTCTGTCTCTTGGCTAGGTTCAAAGAAAATCACGGTTTGTAAAAATGGTTATATGTGGATTTTTGGGAATCTGAATTCTTAAAATCACTTGGAAATCACCTGGAAATGACACTTAGGACTTTGGTTCAGTGGTGAAGACGCAATATGCATTAGACACAAGTAACGGGTTTGGACACTGTCACAATCAAAGCCTGGTATTTAAGTTGGGAGGAAGGTAGATAGGGCAGGTTCGTACTCGAAGTTTCAAACCTATGCGACAACTGGACTGGTCAGAAGTCCACTTGGAATTTTTTCTATATGAAAACAATGGAAATGCTATGCTTGGCATTCATGGTGCATTTGACTTGAGTGCAGTACAAAGTATTTCTGGATACAAGCATACCTGCTGCTTATTTCTAGTATAGAGTAACATTCTTGGATTTATATTTGGATTATGTTCTCTGTTACTTTTGAGACTACATGGTGGCTTAGTACTCCATTGCAGTACTTTTTAGATTAATCATTGATTTCTTCTTAAAATGAATGTCGTCTGCGTTGCTCATGGTATCCATGTGTAGGTCAGTTACTGCTTGAGAACCTTGTACTGGTGGCTTGTTTTTGTATTTTTGTTTATGGTCTCTGATCTTTGTCTAATTGGCCCTTTGTTATTCCTGTGCAAACAGATTGGTTTTCACCTAATACTGTGCACAGATTGGAAAGACAAGTGGTGCCACATTTTTTCTCTGGAAAGTCAGCTGAACATACACCCGAAAAATACATGGAGTGTAGAAATTGTATTGTTGCAAAGTACATGGAGTTTCCTGTAAAGCACTTGTCAGTTGATGATTGCCATGAGATCGTAGCTGGTATCAGTGCTGATGATGTAACTCGAATTGCAAGATTTCTTGATCATTGGGGGATCATCAACTACTGTGCTGTTCCTCCTAAAGATGAGGCCCCAAAAGATGGCACATATTTGTATGAGGACACAAACAGTGATCTCTGTGTTCCAGTAGCTGGTTTGAAGTCTATTGACAGCCTAGTCCAATTTGACAAGCCTAAATGTCGACTGAAGGCGAAAGATGTTTATCCTGAACTTGTGCGTGACTGCGATGATGAGTCCGATTTTGACAACTCAATTCGAGAAATCTTGTCTGAAATTAGATGCAATTGTTGTTCTCGGCCTGTTCCACTAGCGCATTATCAGTCACAGAAAGAGGTATATCACACATCTACTGTTGTCTTTATTTGCTGGTTATGGCTTATATTGAAGAATCAGTAAATGCTTGTTAAGTTCTTTCAGGTATTTCTTAATGGAGCAAATTTTCAATGCCTTATTTGCTATTGTGGAGAGAAGAGAGTAGTTACTTTGATAGCTTTAAGTACTTTGTAATAGGCATATATGCTGTTCATTTGGTGTTAAAGAAAGTGTACGTGCAGTAAAAATTCTCATTGCTTGAATGCACAATAAGTTACCTTCTTGATCAGGCGAGAAGAAGACCAATATCGGCTTTTAGTTCCTTTGCCGCTCTTATCTGGTAGAGAGATGCGGGATTCCATAAGATCTTGCTGTTTACTGATGTGTCAGAATTAGATTTAGCTGTTACCAGGGCTTTAGCAAAGAGGTTGTGAAAAGATTAACAAAAGAAGGAAAAACATTAATCTAAGAACCTTTCTTGCTAGCATAAAAGAAAATTTGAGATTATGAATTTTTTCTCTCAGCAACATCATTTGGGGAAGAAATTTATGTGCGACTAAAGTTAGCGCTTCATTTGGCACATAGGCGCTGAATTACATGACTTCTTTTGATGAATATTGTTGAGTGGTGGATGCCTTCAACACTGACATGCTTTTTCTTTGACAGATTGATATTCTATTGTGTTTGGATTGCTTCCATGAGGGTAGGTTTATTGCTGGTCACTCTAGCTTGGATTTTGTCAAAGTGAGCTCTATGAAAGATTATGGAGATCTAGATGGAGATACTTGGACTGACCAGGAAACACTATTGCTTCTTGAGGGAATGCAACTCTACAATGAAAACTGGAATCAAATTGCAGAACATGTTGGCACCAAGTCAAAGGCACAGTGCATCCTTCATTTTGTCCGCCTGCCTTTGGATGGTGCCTCATTAGACAATATTGAACTTCCAGGTGCATCTGGTGCCTCTAGTTCTAACACAGGTGAAGATCGTAATAAATCCCATTCAACTTTGAATGGGAATCTTGCAGGTGAGACAGTGGACTCTCATATCTCTTTATTATATGATCACAATGCTGAATCTTTAATACTCTTGCTTCATCCTGTTATGATGTAGGACCAAGCACTGGAAACCTTGATTCTGATAGCAAATTTCCATTTGAGAACTGTGGAAATCCAGTAATGTCCCTGGTAGGACTTTGTTATTGTCAGCCTGCTCTTATGAAATGTTTATTCCTCTTGTTCATATGAAGATACTTTAGTTCCTAGTTTCTGCAAGGATATCTGTTGATTCTTGAGGAATGTTGCCTTCATTTTGTCGGGTGGGGAAGGGCATGTCACTTGTTTATAACGCAAATATGTTATTTGTTTTCTATAGTTTGTTTCTCTTTTAGTATCCTTTTCCTTTTTGGTTCATCTCTCTCTGCGTGAAATCGTGGAGGGTGATGCATTTCCTTTAGAGCTTTAGAGGGTGTTTGGGTAAGCTTTTATAAGCTAGTTAAACCAACACATAAACACATTTTGACTTGCCCTACTTTGTTGGTGTCTGCCAAATGTGCCTATATGCCTAGTACTTATTAGCCAAAATCAGCCAAAAGTCATAGCTTGTCCCCCCAACATATGACTTTCAGCTTATTAGCTTTTATCTTTTACCAATGTTATGCTATGTTATTCCTAATTCTTTTTGTAACCCCTGAAATTTCCTTCCCAAAACAACACCTCCTTCCTCTCCATTTCATTATTGTCATTTGTCATTTTCCATGTAGAGATGCTTCTAATATTTTAAATTTGAAAGTAGCTTTAGGGCATTTCAGTCACTTTACAAGAATAAAGTGCTTATTAGACTTTTTACCACACACACCAACTGCTTTTTATCAATTTCACCAGTTCTATCCATACACAACAAGAGCTGAAGTATATTTTGTAATCAGCTTCAACAAATTTTGTAAGAATCTGTAGTTGTATTGATTAAAAGCACTAAGAAGGTGCAAGGCTGCAAAAAAAAAAAAGCATTCACAGATCAGTAGAAAAAGTATGTCCCTTCTCTTTTAGAGGGATCCTATCAGATCTAACAGTTCCTGCTTCACTTTCACTGGTTAAATTTTTTTACATGAAAGATAAAACAAAAGTAAACAAATTCATCTCGATCTTTTGAATAGAGCCTGCTTTGTCTTCAAAGCACCTCATATGCCTTACTCTCCAAATAGACGACATACAAGAAGGCATAGTGTACCACCATTTCCTTTTCTTCTTGTTCTTACCCTTGATGTTCCAGTTTTTTAGAAACCCAATCGTCTCTCTGGGCACTCCATTTAAGTCCCACCATGTTAAGGAGCAGTTGCATAATTGATCAGTGATGTAGCAGTGTAAAAACAAATGATCTATGCTCTCTGAACTGGATCCACACAAAAGCACCTGGATCACAATCGGTATCCTCTTTTTTTGGTAATTTCAAGCTTGCTTTATGAGCCACCAACCATGAGAATATATGTCCTTGTAAGAAGCATAAGTTTCCCAGATCTGTTTCCGAAGCCAAAAATTATTCTGAAGTCCTCTTGAAATCAAACTATCACAACGAGATTTCACTGTGAATTGACCTCTGCTTTCAGCTTCATCGTGTCCTGGCACTGTCACAGACCTTAGAATTTTCCAGAATCAGTAGCAGTTTAGCATGTCTACCCATTTCCAAATCATTCAAGTTCCTCCTAGAGTTGAGATTCCAACCATCATTGCTTCTATTGGACACTTGCTTCTGGCATCACAGATGGTCTATGTATGTCAGGGAACAACTCTTTGAGAGGAGCATGAGCGATCCAGCAGTCATTCTTTATCTTCCTTCCATCCCATCTTGTAACTAATGTTGCCCAATAATTGTTGCCAGAGATTCCTCTAAACCCAGCGCTTCAAGGGATGTTTACAGCTGTAAAGATATGACACCTGGGCCTAACTCAACCCCAAAAACTAGCTCATGACGGGAGGTTTGTCCAAGTCCATATAAGGAGATCAATTTCCCATCCCTCTACTGATGTGAAACTTCTTAACACTCCCCCGCACGCCCAGATCTCAACTGGAGCTTGAACTCTTCTAAATAGGGGGCCAACATCGGTGAACAATAATTTGGGATGGGCCTGACTCTGATACCATGTTAAATTAGGTCTTATGCCTAACTCACATCCCAAAAGCTAGCTCAAAGGGAGGAGGATTGCCCAAGCCTTATAAGGAGTCCACCCATCTCATTAACCACCAATGTGGGACTTCTGTCAATCTTTAACAACAGCTTTTAGTACTGCAGGGATCAACTCCATACTTTTCATTAACTACTTCTTTCTGTAAAAACCTTGTTCTTCAGATATGAACATCCACAGCTATTTCAACACCAAGTTGTTTTTGTATTGCTTCAAGTTTCCAATTCCCAGTCTCCCCTCTTCTTTACTGGCTATAATAGTGGTCCATTTTACTAGGTGAGAATTCCCCGTTTCACTATTCTCTTGTCATAAGAACTCCCTCCTTAGTTTATCCAAACTTTTTCAACCTTAGCAGGTAGTGGAAATAAAGACATTACATAAGTTGTTAACGAATCAAGCACAATATTTACCAGTACTAGTGGAAATCAGCTTCAACACTTCAAACTACTTTTAATCAAAGCTTCGACTATTAAAATTTCTTTTAATCAACTACAATTGACGGGCTCTTAGTACCATTTTAACACATGCCTTTTGAGTTCAGTTATTTCATTGGGGTAGGTTGGTAGAGAACTAGGCTATCCTTGTTCAGTTGTTTGTCTAACTTGTTGAAGGGTCCCATAATCCCCCTATGGTGAGATAATTGTCAAAATAGAAGTTAGCAGATGAACTATTTATGAGAAACATTAATGCAAGTCTTCTTCATGAGTTGTTTTTCTAAAAAGATCTTTCACAATGGTAAAAATGTTATAGCAATGAAACACGTAGGAATTCATTATGATGCTTTTTAACAGAGAAGATTCAGAGTTGAATTTTTGATAAAACTAAAATGTCTAGATATATTCCTTTATTTGGCAAAATGAATGATATAATTTGCAGATGTGACTGACCCTTTTTATTTGGTTTTCTCGTCTATTGCAGCTTTCTTTTTTTGAATTTTTAAAATTAAATTATTTAAATATCTACCTGCTGTTATCTATTCACTGTTTCATTCAACTTACTGGAATGATCCATCAGATCCCAAATTATTAACTAATACATACTGCATGTGCAACTGTACATGGCTTCGTAGAATTAAATAAGGGAAGGCCTTAGCAGCCCTGTCAATATTGAGGCTCTGGACGTGGAACTACCTGTTCTTAGGTTCAAGTTTTAGTAGAGAGATTTTGCTAAGTTTGAGGTGGTTAGTGTCTTGATTCTCTTAATTTGTGTATCTCATTCTGAGTCCTTCTCCAATAATTGATGGTGTAGACATTGCTTATATTAACATTTTTCTTTTATACTTGCTCACCTCTCCTTAGTGTTTTCATAACTTGTGATATATTAGAATTTTTTGATGATTGTTAAGCAGCTGTTTGAATTACATTTAAATTGACTTTGCCATACCATCTAAATTATAGACAGTTGAGTGCTGAGGGCCCTTATTCTGAGGTGGGAACAAAAAGAAGAATTTTTTAGCTCTCTGTTGTTATCTGTAGGTTGCTTTTCTGGCATCTGCTGTTGGACCGAGAGTTGCTGCAGCATGTGCCCATGCATCCTTGGCAGCTTTATCCAAGGATGATACTTTAACTGCACCACGGAACATGACTCAGATGGATGGATCCACAACAAATAATGGGTATGTATTCTACTGTTTTTTCTTTATCAATATCAGAACTTGAAAGGAAATACATAAGTGAAGAAGACATGCTAAAAATAAAGGTAGAAGTCATCAGTAGCAACAACAAATAATATGATACCGAAGTAAAGGCAATAACAAGTAATAATAAAATATAAGAATAAGTAAGTATCTGCACTGTAAAACTTCTTAACGACACTTTATCTCAAAAAAAAAAAACTTCTTAACGACAGTTAACTAATCTTTCCTTGTCAAAAGAACTCTTAAAGAAAGAAAAACAGGGGGAGTATTCTATTTTTGGTTGTATAGGTTTATCTAGAACTTGAATTCTTGGCTCTCCGTCCACATCCTTTGCCAGCAAATCAGACACCTCTTTTGACATCCCCTCAACCTTCTCTTATTCGTTTCCAACTGCCCAAGTGTTTCTCCTCATTGTACCTTCTGCATTAGGCATTTTGTGCTACATGAAATACTTTATTTCATCATCTCAACGGTCCCTTATAGTAATCTCTTTACCTGTCAATTTTTTTTACCTTTAGTCATCTCTGTAATTTTCATAACCCCTATGCTTTGGGAGCATTTAAATCTAAGAATCTTGTTGGCTGCATCTATGGAGCTCCATTTTGGCTGATATTACCGAGCTAGTTACACCTTGGAGTAACTAAGAGGATGCTGGCTTATCTTCTCCAGTTTTAGAGATACGAGCAGTCCATTATATGCACAGGTATACAATGCTAAATGGAAGCACAGAGGAGATCTGATTGCTATTTTTCAGTGCATACTTGGTTGTGTCGCCACTGTTATACTTGCTTTGTCACATAACGTTCCTGTCTGCATGGAACTGGATTGCAAGCCATGTTTCTTTCACCTGTGGTAGAGAAACTATGGCGACGGCTGTGTTGTCAAAGGTGCACTTACGCCCTGAAGGGAGGCTCAAAACATGTTGAGCGCTTCGACTCGCTTAATGTGCGCTTCAATGTCTTCATTAAGGCTAAAAGACAATTTTTCCTTGCGAATAAGCGTTTCCTGAAGAGGCAATACTAAATAATTGGTATTTCACTTTATCATAATTGTTTTTTCATTTTCTTTGTCCATATATTTGTTAGTGTTATCAAAGGCACGCTTTAAGCATGCTTAAGCCCTGAAGCGAGGCTCAAAATGTGTTGAGCACTTCGCCTCGCTTTATGTGCGTTTCAGTGTCTTCAACAAAGTTCTAAGACAAACTTTTCCTTGCCAATGAGCCTCTTTGGTCATATATTTGCCATTCATGTTTATAATGATTAGTCTTGGACTAAACATATATATTTGTGTTTTTTCTCCCTTGCGCCTTTTTTAATTAAAGCCCACGCTTTATTTGCGCTTAAAACCCCCACTGACCTTAGAGCCTTGTTGCGCTTTTCGCCTTTGATAACACCATTATTTGTTATTCATACTTATATTTATTAGTCTTGAATCAAATATATATATATATAGTATTTTGTTTTTCTATTTCCACCCTTTTTCCATTAAAGCACACACTTGAGTTCTTAACCCCCCCCCCTAACGGACCCTAGAGCTTTATTGCTTTGCCTTTTTATCACTAACATCTGAGATGCAAGAAACTGGGTTGCATGCTGACACATGTATGGTTTTCTATTTGGATACAACTGCATCTCTAGCGCATAAGCTGGGTTGTATGCCTTGCTTCTAACTGTCACCTCATACTTGTGATAGAGATACTATAAAGGCAGATCATGCAGTTTTGCCTTATGCTTCATTTCTTTCTGTCGATTGAACACCAAAGGGTCTAATGTTTTTATGTAAGTGGCCCCCGTCAGACTTAATAAATGTCTCTGCTCCAGGGATTCTACTCTTAAATTGTTGGTGTCCTCCCATTGTTTGTGCAACTGGGTTGTTAAATTCGCCCATTTATATTCATTGTTTCTGTTAGATATAGGTTGTATTTTCTCATGAAATCTACCATTACTGTAATCCTTACCTCCTTTTTTGGGACAAGTAATATAGGTAAATCAGAACCTTAGAAAAGATGAGTAAGAGAAACTTTGATGTGCATGTTTCGGGGAACTTGTGATTCAAGCACTACTCTTTTCTAGGGTTTGCTTTCATCGTACTTAACTGGAAATCATTTGAATCTGAATTTCAAGCTTTCTTGGTTCTTCTGTTCAGTTTCAGTTTGTGAGTTTTAACTCTTTGGTTTGGTTTTATTTCTTTTGGAGAAAGAGAAACACCAAAATTTTAGGCATGTATAAACAGTGTTAGTTCTTAGGAGAAAAGGAAATAAAATTTAGAAATGATTACTCTTCTATCTATGCTGCCGGATGTGTGACTGCCTTACTCTTACTACGATCCTTGCAATTAGATTAGCTTAACTGGTTACACATGGACTTAACAAGATAGTGTAATTCTGTTGTCTAAATTGGGCAGTGTTTGCCCTAGTGATTATTATCGACTTGCCATTGTAAGTTTTATTCTATAAAAATACTAGTGTTGCCATGAAAAAAATAATCTAATTTACTATAAGTGATCATACTCGCTCCACTTCCACACAAATCTAATGGATTTTAAGTTCTAAAACTGATTTTAATAACAATATATCTTGAAAATTGGTGGTTAGAATCTGAGGGCTTCATTGACAGAGTCAGAGAATGGTGGTCTTCTTTCAACTTCACAGGGAAACCTGATTATAGATTGGCTTGCAAACTAAAAGCTCTGAAGACTAAACTTAAAGAATGGAGGAATGGGGAAGAAGGAAATTTGGGTATACAGAGGAAGAAATTGCTTGAACAGTTGGCTGATCTAGAAGCTGAGAGGGAAGACAGAATCCTTACTAATGAGGAGTCTGCCAAAAATTCTGAATTGATGTTGAAATATGAAGAGTTGATAAAAAAGGAGGAGATCTCCTGGAGACAAAAATCAAGGGCTCTATGGCTGAAGGAAGGTGATAAGAATACTAAATTCTTTCACAAGATAGCAAATGCACATAGGAGATACAACAACATTGATCAGCTTATGATACATGGAGAACTGAATCAAGAGCCAAGCAGAATTAAAGGGGAAATTGTTGAATATTATAAAAGGTTGTATAAGGAATCATCTCAGTGGAGACCTGAGTACATAAATGTGCAATTTCCTGTCCTAACAGAAGAAGATAATCAAGCTCTACAAAGCAACTTTGAGGAAAGTGAAGTGTTGAGATGTCTGAAGTTATGTGCTGTTGACAAAGCAGCAGGTCCAAATGGTTTTACTATGGGGTTTTTTTATAAAATGTTGGGATGTGGTAAAGCAAGACATCATGGACACCTTTCAAAACTTCTATGAACATGAAGTTTTTGAGAAGAGTTTCAATGCAACTTTTATAGCTCTTATACCCAAAAAGAAAGGTGCCAAGGAGTTGCGGGACTTCAGGCCAATTAGTCTAATTGGTAGCATCTACAAACTTATCTCCAAAGTTCTTACTGAGAGGCTGAAAAGGGTGGTGGACAAGTTGGTAGACTCACAACAAATGGCTTTTGTTAAGGGGAGACAGATAATGGATGCAGTTTTGATTGCAAATGAAGCAGTTGACTCCAGAAATAACCAAAAGAAGCCAGGTGTCCTTTGTAAGTTGGATATAGAGAAAGCTTATGACCATGTTAGCTGGAAATACTTAATGAAGATGTTGAACCTGATAGGTTTTGGGCAGAAATGGTTGAACTGGATAAAGTTTTGCATATCAACTGTAAGATTCTCAGTACTCATCAATGGCAACCCTGCAGGTTTCTTTCAAACCCAAAGGGGTCTCAGACAAGGGGATCCCTTGTCACCTTTTTTATTCCTGATCACTATGGAGGGTTTAAACAACATGATAAAAGCTGCTAACTTGAGAGGCTGGATAAGGGGTTTTGATGTGGCCAGAGAAGGTACTGAGAGACTAGAAGTCACACACTTGCAATATGCAGATGATACCTTGATTTTCTGCGATGCTAAGGAAGAACAATTGAAGTATCTAAGGGTGATTCTGGTCTTATTTGAAGGTATTTCTGGTTTGCATATCAATTGGAGGAAGAGTATGATGTATCCTATAAATCAAGTAAACAACATGAGTTGTTTAGCATCAATTCTAGGTGGTGAAATAGGAGTTCTGCCTACTATATACTTGGGAATGCCTTTGGGGGCCAAATCCAAGTCCATAGACATATGGAATAGTGTGATTGAGAAGTGTGAGAAGAAATTGGCCAAGTGGAAGTCTCAGTACTTATCAAAGGGGGGTAGACTGACCCTTATTAACTCAGTACTTGATGCTTTGCCAACCTATATGATGTCCCTGTTTCCTATCCCACCAAGGGTCATTAAGAGGTTGGATCGTATCAGGAGGAATTTTTTGTGGCAAGGCAACAAAGAAAAGAAAAGTTTTCATTTGGTTAAATGGGAAGAAGTCATGACAAGCAAGGAAAATGGAGGTCTAGGAATAAAAAAATTGAAATTGCAAAGCAAGGCTCTTAGTATGAAGTGGTTGTGGAAGTATGCAAACAACAACCAGATGCTATGGAGGGAAGTAATTGGAGCTAAATATGAAAAAGAGGACAACTGGATAACTAAAGAAGTAACCACTCCTTATGGTGTTAGTCTCTGGAGGTCCATCAGAAGCTTGTGGAACGAAGTTAAAAGTAACTCAAAGGCAAAAGTAATGGATGGGAATAAGACCAGATTTTGGAAGGACATTTGGCATGAGAAAGGCAACATGGAAGATCTCTTTCCAGACATCTACAACCTAATCATGTTTCAACAAAGCACTATAGCAGATCTTTGGTCACCACAAGGATGGAATTTCATTTTCAGAAGAAACCTTAATGATTGGGAAATAGTGAGAGTTGCTGAATTTTTAAACACTGAACACTTTCACTGGACTACAGCCAGGTGAGGATAAACTGTGGTGGACAGGAGATGACAAGGGAGTGTTCAAAGTCAACAAATCCTACAAGTTGATGGATCAGACAGATCAACAGTGCTCAAGTTGGCCTTGGAAGCAAATATGGAAGAGCAGAATCCCTCACAAAGTCTCCTTTTTTGTCTGGTCAATGGCTAAAGAAGCAGTCCTTACACAGGACAATGTTATGAAGAGGGGGAGAACCTTGTGTTCCAGGTGCTTCTTATGTGGTGAAACATCTGAGACTGTTAACCATCTATTTTTACATTGCAAGTACACCCATCATCCGTGGAGAATATTCCTAAGCCTCAAAGGCATCTCCTGGACAATGCCCAGGAAGGTGGCTGAGGCATTACTATGCTGGGAGGAAGCAGGTGTACATGCTAAGGACAAAGGTAGATGGAGAATTATCCCGGGGGTATCTGGTGGGCTGTTTGGAAAGAAAGGAATTCAAGATGTTTTGAGAGCATAGAGAACAATGTGCAGAAAGTTAAACTAAACTGCATTTTACTTTTAGTCTTTTGGTCTAATCAATTATACTCTAATGACACTGTCTCTATTATTGATGTGTTAGACTCAATTTAGACGTAGAGAAGTGAAATCAGGAGTACACTTGTATAGAAGGTTACAGTACGACCCATGTACTGTTTTGTGATATAATACAAAGTTACCAAGTTCAAAAAAAAAAAAAAAAAACTAGAAGAAATCAATTCACTCGAATCGATTCATTTTGATCAGTAGAAGAAATCAATTCGCTTGATTCTTTTTGAACGATAGAAGAAATCAATTCACTTATAAGACATGTATATTTTTCCCTTGATGAACTCTCTGAAACAAAATGCCATAAGATAATTAATGATAAAGAAGTTGTTAGATTTCTTTCCTTGGTTTAGAATTCCTCTTCATCCTTTCATTTTGGGTATCAATAACTTGAAAGATGACCAGAAATAAAGAATAGGGCCCACCCCCCGATAAGAATTAAAATATTTTTTTGATAAATATTATAAGCCCAACAAAACTCCAAAGTTTAGAATAGGCACAAACTCAGAAAGGCAACCGAAAAAATTGAATTGAAAGATATAAGCTGAATCATAGCTAGCTTTTGGTTTGGTTTATGTATTTACAAAAAAAAAAAGACCGGTATGACCAAATTCACCCTATTTTTCCAACTATTTCTCTTTGTTGCTGAAGCCTTTTCTTCTCATATAATAATAGGACTTGATTATGTGAAAAGAGTATGTGTTATCATCTCCAAATATGGAAGAAAGAGTCAACAACACAACCCTTCTGGATCAAATAGCCTACTGTCCTACTCATTAAGCAGCTTTAGTCAACACTGTGAAGCCAAAATGGCACTACTGCTATTAAACTCTATTTTGGGTATTAAGTTGGTCTTAATGCTGTAAATTTAGTTGCTTTCTATTGCTCATGTGCTTGCCCATGCTCATGAATGCTTCAGTGGCACCTAAGTTGCACAGACTCTTCACTTTGGGTGCTGCATCTGTGTCAAGTGTCAACACTACTTGGGTGTGGGTGTGGGATCCGTACCAGATAACGGTCAAACAATTTTGGGTACTTTGACCTAGAACAATAGAGAAATTTGAGATAGATACAAAGATTTCTAATTCGAACTTAATACGTACTTAATAATAATTCGAACTTGCTCTTGAAAATTTGTGCATTCCTTCCTTCCAAATTGTCAACCATAATTTAGGAATACTTTTATAATTCTATTTTTTTGATACTTGAATTACTTTAAACCAAATCCCCGCACTTGTGTCTGTGCTTAGATCTATACCCTCGAATCTTAAAATTTACATCATGAAGGATTTAACATTTGTATTGTGCTATTTGGTTGTATATTTTTCTTTCTATCCTGCTTCTATGACATTCCTTTTGAGCCGAGGGTCCATCGGAAACAACCTCTACCCCACAGAGGTAGGGCAAGGTCTGCGTACTTCTACCCTCCCAGACCCAGTTGTGGGATTACACTGGGTATGTTGTTGTTGAAGGATCCAACCACTAGATCTACACCCGTATCAGACCCTTGCACCCGAGTCCGAGCAACTTATAGTGGCACGATATACTTTGCTACCTTGGGTAAGACACTTTATAGCAACTCAACCCACAAGTGATATTGTCTGCTTTGGGCCTGGGCATGCATGGCTTTAAAATGCATCACCAGGGTCTAAGGCTTACTTCCTTATATACCCATCATCTCTTCCTTGTTTAGTCGATGTGAGATTCACCTCCTATCATTTTCAGTAAAACTAATTTGTTGGCCATTTAGTCTAGAAATAATATGTCAACATTAGCTGTGAGCTAGAAGCATTCACAGTTTCACACTTCTCTATTCGCTCAAATACACTGTTTTGATAGTTGAAAGTTGAAACCATAATGCAATGTGATCCACCTTTGATGAGGCAAAAGGTGAGCACCTTTCTGGTCTTGCAATTTTATCCTTTTGAAAACTTAAATGAGCTTAACTATTCGTGTTTTGAGGTAGTCAAGTTTATAATGGTGTCATTCTTTTAAGGCCAAATCCATCGGTGGCCCCTAAAGTTGGCAGCAATTTTCACTTAGACACTTCAACTAGACGATGTTCATTTTAGACACCTCATGTAGGGTTCTGATGTGTCATTTTGACATTTTTTTTATATTCTTAGAACTAGCTTAGGTGCGTGTATCCAAACGCCTCCTACGTGGATAAATAAATGAAGAACATGTGACATGTGGATTTTTTTTTTTTTTTTTAAAAACTCACTTTTACTTTTTTTTTCTTCAAAATATCTAACCCTAGTCCTCACCCCCACATCTTCTGCATCTTCTTCTATGTGTTTTTGTTCTTTCTCTGTGTTCTTCTTCAAATCCATTAAAATTCATGTGTTCTTCTTGTGCTATACAAATTTTGATTTCTTGTGTTACATTCCTTGATTCCTCCCTTTTTTTAAAATCAAAATTGCATCTTGAAACAAAAATAACAATATTATATAAATGGTGAAGATGTAGACGGAGGAAAATATTGGGGATTTAGTTATGAATGCTATGGGGAAATGTTGTGGGATTTAGTTATGTATGCTATGGGAAAATGTTGGGGATTTAGTTATTTAAATGGTGAAGATGCAGACGGTGTAATAGCTTGTTCCTCCAATTTTCGTTGTTACAGACACAGAAAATTAGGATAATTTTCAGTAAGAAAACTGAAAATCAAGAGAACTTCTCAGTATTATTAGGGGCGGGAGTTTTTTAGTTGTAGACTGTAGTAGCAGACAACATTAATGTAGCAGATCTTAAACTTTATGTGATTTGATTTTAAAAAGAAAAAGAGTCACAAATTCTTAGAGAATGATGAAGATCTAGAATGATGATGATCTTCATTTTTTCTGGTGAGGTTGCTAAAGAAATTGACTCTTTTGTTGAAGAAATTGGATTCTAATATTACCCAACAAAGTTTTGCAGATTTTTTTTGAAAAGTTGTGTGGTGATGTTGGGTGATGGAAGGTGGAGAAGTTACAGGAAGAGAAGAGTGAGGAAGAAGAAGAAAGCAAAAATATTTTCCAACAAAAAAGTGTTTCACACGCATAAAATTCGTGTAACACACATGCTATGTTGAGTAAGGAAAAGTGTCGAAATAACATAGCGAAACTCTACATGAGGCATCTAAAATGAGCATCGCCTAGTTGAGGTGTCTAAGTGAAACTTGGTGCCAAGTTTAAGGGGATACCGATGGGTTCAGCCTTCTTTTAAATACACAGCAAAAGGATACTTCATTATAACCAACAATAAATTTAGATTTCGTGTTAACATAAAGGAAGCATTATTTCCTTTTGCAAATATTATGAGAATTTTTTTTTAAAGATGTTCGTCTTCATGCATTTTGTTGCATTCAGCAATTGGTAATACCACAGTTTATTAGTTTCTTGAGGAGCAACAGATGAAACATTTCTAATCATCTTAGTGATCTCAAGGTATATACTTCAATCTTGCAGGACCAGTGTAGGAAGAATGCCTGGAAAGAATGGAAGTCCTCATGGAGATGTTGGAAGTTCGTATCAGCTAAAAGGTGCCTGTAAACTTGAACTAGTACTGACTGTTCTTGTTTCATCCTTCAAATATTTTCTAATATAATCTTCTCAGATGAAAAGGCAGGAGGACAAGGTCCCTGGGGTCAACATGATACTGGAGGTGCTCCATTATCCACTGAAAGTGTAAGAGCTGCTGCTAAAGTTGGTCTTGCAGCTGCAGCTATAAAATCAAAGCTTTTTGCTGACCATGAAGAACGTGAGATTCAGCGGTTATCTGCAAACATAGTCAACCATCAGGTGATCTGATGATACTGTAGTTATTCATCTCCAATTGACCTCTTGTTGAGTCCATTTCATCCTCTTTCTTCGCGTTTTGCTTGGTTAAGCTCTTTATTGACATCTTTTACTTTCGGGCATTTGGGTTTTGCGAAGTATTAGGGCCATTATAGGTGCATTACAATGGGTTTGAAGAACTTCTGCTGAAGTTTGTTTTTTGTTGCTAGTAGCGATTCTTGGGTTAAAAAAAGTTGGAAGAGTTTGAGTTTGAGGGATGTAACTGGAGAGCTGTGGTTTGAGGTTCTGATGAGTTCATCATAAATTCATAATACATACCTTATGTGGATAAATTCATAATTCATAATACAAACTAGTTGAGAACTGAGATCAACTTTATGAATCTTTATTCATTCCACTCTGTTCAAAGCACATTTTATTTCAATACTAAATAATTTACCTCTCAAGGATTTCTCTAACTGTCACACTTATATCGAGATTTTTGGACTTATGAGATAATGTTTCTCCACTTGATTTTAGGTCTTACCTCGTTCTCTTCTATCACCTTCAATCATCATATAGTACGACCTAAGGTTTGGTGTATAAGGAGGTCTGCATAGGACATGGTTTGTTATAGTTAGCTTTCTATTCTATATGAATTTGGTAAGAAAGATCAAAATTTCTATGAGAAGAAAATGATCATCTGACCTATTTCAACCCCAAAAATAAGTTCATGAGGTGCTGCTGGTCCAAGACCATATAAGTGATAACAATCCATTCCCTCAAATCAATGTAGAACATTCTAACACACCCAGATTCGGACATTTGGAGTGTCCACAACATACCATGGGATAAACCAATAATAGGGATGGGTCTTGACCCTAAGATTATTAAAAAAAATAAATAGATCTTGGGCCAACCCAAAATCTAGGTGGAAGTTGAGGATTGTTCAAGACCATATAAAGAGACAACAACTCATTCCCTTACATTATGATGGGAGAATGTAATGCCAGTAATATAAATTGTTGATGAATTTCAAATTCTCCTTGGAGCAGGTAACCATTGGATACTACTCCCCCCGTCCCAATTTATGTGAACTACTTTTCTTTTTAGCCTGTCTCAGAAAGAAAGTCACCTTTCTGTAATTAGAACGTTTTAGCTTTATTATTCCCCCTTTACCCACACAAATGTCTAAGGCTTCATTTTTTTCTTAAACTTTGTGCCTAAGTCAAATAGTGCCTCACATAAGTTGGGAAGGAGGAGTATGATTTTTCTTGTGTTTGCTTGATATTTTTGAAACCATAGACATGACATCAATGGTATATAAGTAATATGGTACTAACACACTATTTTATCTAAAGTTTGAATTAGTTTGCTTATTGAAAAAGAGAGGAAAATTTCAAGTCCCTACAACTATGTCTGAAGTTATGCCCTATTTCTTCCTCTTGTATCTTATTTCTGCATTTTTAGGAAAATCATTGGTTTGGGAGCTTCTTTTGTGGATCTCTATGTTTGCTTTGAACCATGTTTGGTTAAGGATGCATCTCTCTTGGCCTTCTCTTTGCAATAATTTTGACCTTTCTACTACTTTCCTTGTACATACAGTTGAAGAGGTTAGAGCTGAAGCTAAAGCAGTTCGCTGAGGTGGAGACCTTGTTAATGAAAGAATGTGAACAATTGGAGAGAACAAGGCAACGCTTTTTTGGAGAACGTGCTCGGATGATGACAACTCAACCTGGTTCGGTTCGTGTATCCCGACCAATGGGTGTGTCTGGTGCTGGTGCAGCAGTGGTCAGTAATACAGGAAATAGTAGGCAACAAGTTTCAGGTCCTCCACAACAAAATTTTATTGCTGGATATGGGAACAACCAACCAATGCACCCTCAAATGTCATTTATGCAGCAACAAGGAATTTATGGATTTGGGCCTCGGCTGCCACTCTCAGCGATACACCCATCCTCTTCAACACCTGGTATGTTTAATGCACCAGCAAGTTCCCAGCCCGCTCTCAATCATTCAATGCTTAGACCTGTATCTGGGACAAAAACTGGCTTAGGTTGAGTGAAGATAGTGATTGAGCTCTGGATTTACTTCAGTTTACTGATCGGTTCTCTTCATTTCTGCAATTATTGAGGCGAGAGAACAAGTTGCATTGCTCTGTCAGACGGATTGAGACATTAATGAAGCCAATCGACTGAAGATGCAGCTCGGACTGACAGTGCAATGGCCTGATTACCCAAGCAGGACTGCTCACATTAGTTGCTGCTTTATGCAGCTAAACTTATTCGTAGAAACAACTTGTACTATATTTCGGTTTCTACTGTGACATAACACTCTTTTGGTAACAAGTATGAGACTAGGGATCTAGAAATGTAGTTTTGTGCAGTACAGGTAATTGAGATGGAGAAAACAGGGCAATGGAGTATGGCAGTTTCTTGATCATAGAAGTCGTGTAACAAAATTGTTGTGCTGATTCCTACATTTGTAACTGATTTCTCAAGTAATTTAACTAAGCTTTGAGGGTTAAACCAAACATGACAACAACTACGTTTCTATCCCAAACAAGTTTGGGTCGGCTAAACGGCCCCTCAGCTTCCAAAAACAAACTTGTTCATCTTTAAGAAGCTTTAGTGCAGTTTTACCAAATGAAATATTGGCCTTTTCATAACCAAATATGAATTGAGTGATGCGAGAAAACTGAAATATCATGATTGAATTTCTTTATTATAAATATTATCTTTTGAATTGTAGTATAATTTTGTTATAGAAATTAAATTGTTTATGTTGCTAATTGTAGAATCCATTTCTCCTTGTACCATACTGGAGATACATTTTGAAAGCTATTCAATGAAATTCAAAATACAATCATCACACTTTGAAGAGAGTATATTTATAATTCAATTGATATCGTCATTTGTATGTCAAGCTTGTAACAATTTTACTTCTCTAGTTGATGTATGTAATATAATATATTAGATTATTTTGTTTAAGTAGAAAAAAGAAAAATGATTTCTTTTTTCAAAGGTGACAAAAGCAAACAGAATTTCAGTTTGTTTGTTGCTCAATGGTCAACTGGCTAAAGTTCAACTAGTTGACTAAATAAGTAATCTACAATGGGTCCATCCATTATTACGTACTTTTATCTTTGGCATTGTCCCTACGTTAATGATTAAGGTAGATGTCGGCCGTATGACTTCTGTTCCGTTGTATATCTTAATTCACTATTGTACAAATATCTTATGATTCACAATTCATGTGGGTGTGTTTGGTACGAGCGATAATAGATAATTAGATATTTAATTTTATTTAAGAAGAAACTTAGAAAAGAAATGAAAATATTTTTTTGGTGTTTCGTCACTAAAAATGACATATTTTTGGAAAACAATTGTTTTTGCTTCAAAATGTCAATGGTAATATTGGCTGTTCAAACTTGACCCCATTTTAAAATTATTATTATAAGTAATTTTTTTTGAAATTCTCAAGATTAGTCTAAGATGAGACCCTTTTTTACAACTACTATGAAGAATTAATGTCAAATTAATTAGTCGCGTTTGCTTTTTGTTTATTGTGTTTGTAATAGACAATCATTTCGAGTATGAATCTTAATTAAATAAAGAAATATGTAACCAAATTGTTCAAGTAGTTTTGTTTAAAAAGTCGTCATCTGATTCTTTTTTATGTCTTTTCTTTCTCACTTGAAATTAATAGGAATGTTAATTAATCACTTTGGAGACTAATTAACGTATAAAATAATTCTTTCCATACTATATGCTCTTTCTCGTGCCTTTGACAAAATTTCATAGCCTTGGCTTTTATTTTCATTATTCTCCTTATAAAATCATTTGGAAGATCAAACAAATTAAACAACTTGCTGATTATTTTATGTGGATGATCTAATTCATTTCAAAATTAGCCGTTAACACTGAGGAAAAAAATGGAATTAGTTATGAATTTTGTTACTAAGTTCTTCGTGTAGCTAATAAATGATATTACGTTGCTAAATAGAATCAGTAACAAATTTTTCTTTTTAGCGATGAAATTTAGTTCCTATTTTTTTAGTATTGTAAAAATTATACTAAATCAAGCAATTTAATTTTAGCAAAATTGCAATATATATATATAATTTAACCATAGTCGATTGATGAGTCTGTATGAAAAAATATATCATACTTTCATTATTGATTTGATGTAAATATTTTTTATATCGGATAAGAGGGGAAGTAAAAGAAGGAAAAAAGAGAATATTTTGTGGTTTTCGTAGCCATCAAATTAATTTAGTAATCTAGACCATTTTTTTTTCTTTCTAAAATTCCTTTTTGGAATAAGATTCTGGTTTATCGTTTATTTGACGTAAACTAAAAAGTATTCCAGTTACACTAACTTGAATGCAGTCGTGAGATTGCTCCACTCTTAATAAGAGGTCTCGACACCTTGCAGTGTGCGATCTAAATTTAATTGGGGCTTCAAAACGAACTCCAAACACCGGTGAAGAACTAAAAAAATTAAAAATAAACCTACTATTATTTCCTTTGGCTTTGACTATAGGTTTTTAAATTCCAATCCACAAGCTGTTAAACTTCATTTTCGAATAATGTGAAGAGATTAAACGTAAACGAGTGTAAGAGAATAGAAAATGAAATCTTTGTTCTATGCGTACGACGCACACGTTTTGCTTAATTAACATATGTATCACAAATATTAAGCTATAGCTTAGTTGGTAGAGCACCTCGTTTAGTCGTTTACACACACGTTAATATTTTTTAAGAGTGAAAATAATATTTTTCGTTTCAATTTGTTTGACCTATTTGAATTTTGTGGTCTAAAATTAAAGATTATATCAAATGTACTAAAATACACTTTAATCTTATGATCTTAAATATAACACATAAAAAATTAAAATTAAAATTTTACCAAAAAAAAAAAAAGAGTCATTCAATTTGAATAGACTAAAAAGAAAAGTACTCCAATTTTTTTTTTTTTGGCAAGGATGAAGTATATTACTAATTCTGAGAAAAAATCTTTGAAGATATATAAGATTGGAGTTTATCACAATTCTAAGGGCCATGTTACTCCTTCCATTTTATATTACTTGATCCCTTTTTATTTGATAAATCTCTTATTTTTTTTAATTAATAATATATTTTATTAAATTAACCTTATTAATGATGTTTTAAAATTCTAAATTTACCTACTTTTACCTTTACATAATTATTCAATTCTAAGAACAATAATAATCTTTTTTTGATTTCCTAATATAAATAATTACTAAATTAAAACATCTATTTTTGATATCGAGATCAGTTAAATGAAGCAAAGGGAGTAATATACGACTAAATACCGGAAACGGATCCCATCCAGTTAAATTAGCTCCAGTAATGTCCGGTAATAGCTTTAGATGATGCCACCTACACAAAATGAAATCTAAAGACTAGAAATTATTGCTTCTAAAATTAAATTTCACACCGTTAATTTTCTCTTCTCCACTGTTTGGTACAAACTAAAATTGCAGATGTTAAGTAGTGCAATCACTAAAATTGTAGGATAGCTCCAAATTGTTTTATTCTTCCACGAAATTAGTGGTGAAGTTAGAAATTTCATTAAGGGTGCTTAATATTTACCATATATGTACAAAATTATTTTTGACATGTATACTTCGTAAATTTTTTAATATAAATAGTATGATTTTTCGATAAGGAGTGTCCAACTGAGCTAATTTAACTGGAGGGAATCCATTTTCATCCAGGTGGTTAGTCAGACATCCTTTGTCGAAAAATCATAATATATATATTAAAAATTGTATCAAGTATATAGATCAAAAATTATTTTTCATACACATGTAATAAATCTTTAACACCCTTAATGATATTTCTAACTTCGCCACTAATTTTATGAAAGAATAAAATAATTTGGAGCTGTCATACAATTTTGGTGATTGAGCAAAACTACTACTTTAACTTCTGCAATTTTAGTTTGTACCAAACAGTGGAGAGGAGAAAATTAACGGTGTGAAATTTAATTTTAGAAGCAATAATTTCTAGCCTTTAGATTTCATTTTGTGTAGGTGGCATCATCTAAAGCTATCACCGGACATTACTGGAGCTAATTTAACTGGATGGGATCCGTTCTAAATATCTTTATAATTATGAAAGAAGTAAAGTTTTATACTTTTGTTCTTTTTTTTTTGGAATTTATTATATTTGTGTGGAACAGACCAGAGTATATAGTCTTTGTTTGACTTCAATTTCCAGTGAAAATTTTGTAACTCTTTTTCATATTAACTGAATTTTTGAATTTTTTTTTTATTTAAAATAATTAAATTGGTCTAAGTTCAAGATGGATGTTTGAATTCTTTTTTCATATTTGCTCTTCCTTTAATGAAGTTTGATATTTTCTAGAAGATAAATTGCACTGCTTTCAAATCATTTTGAGGTTTCATATGGAGCACTAACAGTCCCTCATATTTGCAATACAAGTGCACTTTTGGTCCTCCTCCAAAATTTTGCCTATTTTTTAACATTGATTTTATGCACAATTTTTGTACGGCATAATGTTCAATTGTCATTTTATATATTTAGTAGAAATAATAACTCCATGCGAGAGAAGGTGAGAAGAAGAACACCCTATTTTATTAGAAATCATATTGCAGCTAAAGTTGAGAGGCTTGTCACGTCGGTTTCACGTGCAATAGTATAATTTTTTCTTTTATTGCAACGTCATATGTTAAGGTGTTCTTAGTTTAGCTGCAATAATATTTCTACTGAACAGAACTAGGTGTTCTTCTTCTCACCTTCTCTCACATGAAGTTATTATTTCAACTAAATATATAAAAAGACAATTGAACTTTTCTTACATAAAATTGTGGACAAAATGAATGTTAAAAATAGACAAAAGTTTAGAGGAGGACCAAAAGTGCACAAATATTGCAAGCATGAGGGTCTATTACTGTTCTATGTGAAAACTCAAGAATGAGTTTGAGTCTTAACCCAATGATAAAGAATTATTTTGGGCCTTTTTTTTTCTTCACAAAAGATAATAATGGAAAATATGATTAACATTATATCCTTGAATATTTTTCTTAATAAGCATATATTACCTCATAAATTCAGTTAATATGAAATAAACGATGTAGTCATTCTAGACTACAAGTTGGTTCATCATGGAACCCTCTTTTTGGATTTATTGGAACAATAATTATTGGTACTCAATCAATCAATTTGATGGGAAAATAATAGAGATATGGACTGAAATGATGTCTCAACAATTTCTTTTCTTTATTGAGGGAAAAACAAACATAAAAGAAGTCCTCTAAATATATATGTACACATAATAAATAATTTTAGGATTTTTTTTAACTTCTTAACGATATTCAACGATCAAAATAATTGGTTAAATCCCATGAAATCATCGGTCTAGATAATTGATTAAATCCCGTAAAATCATTTCATAGATATATTACACACTTTGCTAAATTCACATTTGAAAACATTCGGTTACTTTGTCCATTTTATCTGAAGAACATTAATAAACCATTCA